CATGGCCTCAATCCCAGCTACGCTGACCCCTCCCCCAGAGGCACGCACTACAGAGGTCAGCACCGAAGATACAAGCCAAGCCGGGAACAGTGGAGGGTCTGCCCAGGCCGCACGGGAGCAGACTAAGAGGGAATGAGAGAAAGAGAGAGAGAGAGAGAGAGGGAACCACATCCTGGCCCTCCAACCCTCGAGGATATTTCTGCTCAGAGCAGCCAAAGCAGAGAGAGGACCGTAGGGCTGGCCCTACCACTACACATGACGTTCCCTCACTGACCCCCAGCGCTACAAGGGGACAGCACTGGAGACACAGTGTGGGAGTTGTGCCTGGTCTGACACTCCCCACCCCCACCTCCCCGGGGCAAAATGAGAAGGGAGTGCACAGAGCAGTAAGGGGAGCATAACAACCAAGGCCCCGAGAAATCCCGAAAATAGATTTCTGACTTGGGGGGCAGGGTTTGACACCTCATCAGACCTGATCAGAAAACATTCATAAGGGTCAGCTGACAGAACTGGAACTATTTAAATCCAGGGACAAGGGAACAAAAAGAGATCTAAAATCAATGGTGAGGATGGTGTGGAATGCATGGGGGGGTTGGTTTGACCAAGTGCAATGGAGCCGAGAAGAATTACTGAACGCTGAATGAAGGTTGAATATGACGGTGGGGCAGGAGGAAAGTAAAAACAAATAGAGCAAAGAACTAGAAGGCAAAAGACATTGATAGAAGTATAAATATGGGCATGTATACATGTAAATGTATTACTACATAACAATAGGGATATAGATCTCTGTATATATATTTAAATGTTAAGTATTAGGTAGTAGACGGACATTGAGCCTCTACTCAAGTCCTCCCTCAACGCAAGAACACTTTGTTCTAATAACCTGGCACTCTGTGATGCTCACCTTCCCAACATGATTGCTGAAGCCAAAATGGATGCATAATAAGCAAATGTGGTAAAGCTGATAGTGCCAGCTATCACAAGCTATAACATATGGGGTCTTAAAGCTTGAAGTTAAAACAAGCAGCCATCTAGCAGGGAAGCAACAAAGCCCACATGGAAGCAGCACACCAGCCCGCGTGTTCATGAGGTGCCGAAGGGATCAGGTAATTAGGCATCAGAAGACCCAAAACAAAGAATTAAATTGATGGGAATGAGGGGGGTCGGAGCGGAGACCCAAAGCCCATCTATAGGCAATTAGACACCCCTCAGAGAAAGGTCAAAAGGGACAAGCCAGCCCAGGCGCAGTACAGCAATGACAAAACTCGCAACATTCCACTAATTCAGTGGTTCTCAACCTTCCTAATGCTGCGCTACCTTTTAATATAGTTCATGTTGTGGTGACACCCCCCCACCATAAATTTTTTTCTTTTCTTTTTTCTAATGAAAAGTTTCATTTATATGGAGACATACAAGTCAAACATTGTTACACACTGTACTCACAGAGCCAAGGTCTGCAGAGCCAGAGCCAGAGAGGGATGATACCTGGAGACAGGTGCCCCAGAGCAGAGTTAAGAAATGGGCTTGGAAAAAGTGGCAACTTTCTTTCCAGGCAGGGCCTGCAGTGGGGGGCTTGGTCTGCATGCTTCTGTGGTCTGGGAATCTTATAAGATGCCTTAGATAATTTCCAGAATGTTGCAATTTGCCTAGCAACCTGAAATACTGCAGCCTCTCACCCATGGTGCAAGTGCCCAGGGGTAGGGAAGGGGCAGGTGCCACGGACTGAAATTGATGACAAATGTCTGGGTAGCCATGGCTCGCCAAGCCCTGCCCTTCTTCTCGTCCACATGTGTCACCTGTCCCCAACCATGACAGTGACTAAAGTTCCACAAGACGAAGAACGAGGGGTCATGCTGCCACTCAGGATGATCGGGGACACACAGACTCGGCGGCAGACATCAATACGTAGACAAAATTAGGAACACGTTAAGAATTGTTTGTGGTTTGGAATAAGATGGGATGCTGCTCGGCAGCATAAAATTATTTTCGTTGTTACTTCCTAACTTTAATTTTGCTACTGTGATGAATCGGGCAACCCCACCACTGCTCTAGTTCTTTAAAGCTTCTTCCCCTCATTACCATGACTCCAGTTCTACCTTGCAAACACAGCTAGACTGAAGCATGTACACTGGTACAGATAAAAGCTCACAACACGTGGAATCCAGAACAGATAAGTCCCTCAGAAACAGTCACTGACGTAGTGATACCATGAGGGTAGAAGGAAGGTGGGAGAAGGGGGAAACCAATTGTCATGACTGACATACTACCTCCACCCCCCCTAGGGGAACGAACAACAGAAGTGTGGGTGAAGGGGGACAAGGATCGAGTTTAAGATATATGAAAATAACAATAATTTATAACTTATGGAAGATTCACAAGGGTGGAAGCATGAGGGAGGGAGGGAAAAAAAGCTGATACCAAAGGCTCAAGTAGAAAGAAAATGGTTTGAAAATGATGACAACCTATGTACAAATGTGCTTGATACAACTGATGTGTAGACTGCCCTAAGAGCTGTAAGAGCCCACAATAAAATGATTTTTATATGTACGCATACATCCACACATACATGTATATATATAAATGTTAAAGAACATCTTTGGGCATATTCTTGGCAAACAAACAAGCCGTGAACAAGTCCAAATGAGGCGATGCTGGTGAGAAGCAGTACGGGCTGTTTCCACTGTGACTGCTCTCCTCCATGACACAATCACAGACGGGGGGTGGTTAGACACTGTGTATGCAGTGAAGCCTGGAAGTCGGCAGGTTGTTCTGGGCCTTGCAAGCTTCACACCTGACAGGGTGCAGCCGATCACTTTATTGCTCAGTGGGAGATACTTGTGTTTCCTACCCTGACAGATTTCCATCTTACACAGGTTTTGGATCGCACGGGGTTTCACTGTAATCCCCAAAGGCAGCGGTTCTCAACCTGTGGGTCTCGACCCCTTTGGGGGGGGGGGTGTTGAACAAAGGGTCACCTGTGGGATTACAAAGAGACTTCCCCCTAGCTTTGTCTCCCCAAAAGATATGCCAAACATTAGAAGCTATTTGCCAGCATATGGTGGGAGGTCAGATTCTTAGAGATATCCTCCCTGAAGGCAGTCAGTTGCCAGACTCCTGTCTGGTCCCACCACAGGTGGGGCCCACTCCCTACTGTTAAGGACAATGGGCTACTTCTCCCTAAAGGCTTTCAGCCATCAGTCTGGTCCCTGTAGATGGGATTTTCACCCCACTGATAATGGTTTCTATAGTGAGCCAGAGAACAGGTCAAACCCGCTCAGTGACATCCAAAATTAAGCTGCCTCCCTGAATCTAGGATCTGCCCATCTTGTTACATGTGTACCCCCAATACCTCCCCTTTCTATTGTGTAGATACCCCTAGATCATCCCCTCTCATTACTGTAGTACCTACAGCACAACCCTTTCCTGTGACGTCTTCACCTGTAATTAGGGGGCTTGCACGTCTCCAGAGAATATAAAAGCCTTGGTTAGCAAATCTCTCTTCACGTGGACCACTAAGTGAAGCTGAGGTGAGCGTGCTACCATGAAATGTGTCTGACTCCATTATTTCAATTACTCGTCTATCTCTCATGCTCGCTATGACATTACTATAATCTTTACTTATTATCGCTGTACAATTGCACCTACCAGACCTGTGATGATGTGTTAGGGGCTGGTTTCCTTGACAGTTGCCTGATTCATAATAGTAGCAAAATTAGTTATTTAGTAGCAACAAAAATAATTTTATAGTTGGGTGGGTCACCTCATGAGGAACTGTATGAAAGGGTCGCCGCATTAGGTAGGTTGAGAACCACTGCCCAAAGAGAATACTGATAAGCGGAATCTGAGTGCTGTAAGGATGAGCCAGGAGCCCCGGTGGGTCAGTGGTTATGTATTGGGCTGGTAACCGCAAGGTCAGCAGTTTGAAACCACCAGCTGCTCCGTGGGAAAAAGAGTCGTCTTTCTTTTCTCACAAAGACGTATGGTCTTGGAAACCCACCAGTTCTACACAGTCTTATAGGATCACGACGAGTCAGAATTGACTTGACGGCAGTAAGGTTTGGGGGCTGTTATGGTTAACCATCATGGCGATTAAACTCAGAGTAGGGAAACCTTGGGAAACCCGTAGGTGGCACTCCTACCACCTGAGCCTCCAACATGCCCTCCGTGGCTCACAGTACTTGAACAGGGCGTAGCTACTGAACAGACTCCCAACCACTAGTTTGAAGAATGGGAAGGAAACCATGGTATTAAACAAACTCATTGCCATCAAGAAAAGACAGACTCTTAGGACAGGGTAGAAAGACAGACCCCTGTGTGTTTCTGAGACTGTAACTGTTTACAGGAGTAGAAAGCTCTTTCTCCCACAAAAGGTACCCTGAAAAATCCCTTGAATTGTTATTAACCAATCCCTCCTTCCTTTAAATGAAGGTAAAGAAGGAAATGAAGCTTGGTTTCAGCAGGTCAAGGAGCCTGGACTTTAGTCTAGGTAGGTGAGAAGTGGAACGACTTAGGTCAGGGTGGAGACATACCTATTTGAGAGATAACATATGACTAGTAAGTTTAAAAAAAATCTCTTAAATCCAGTGCCAATTCATACCAAACCTACAGGACGGATTAGAACTGCAACATAGGTTTCTCAAAGTGGTAGATACTTATGGAAGCTAAGTGCCACATCTTTCTCCTATAAAGCAAGAAATACTATAAAATACTACAAGCAATACACAAATAATGAAACATATTTTTTTTTTGGCGGGGAGGAGTCTGGAGAATATGTGAAAACTCCAAACTGTATGAACTGGTGCACGCTGTAAATGGATTTACGTCACTTCCCTACAGAAGGTGAGTTCGGGCTCCCTGGCCAAGCTTTCTACCACCGGGAATCCCCAAACAAGGGTTAGTCCCACAGAGGCGGCATGACCTCGCAGCTCATCCCTAACGCAGGAAGGAGCCGCCCGCGGTCCCGTCCCGTGCTGGACGCGGTGTGTCCGGCTCGAGCCCCACTGGACCCTTCCTCACTTACCCAGGGGCCCCTTCCCCGCGGCCTTCGCCTTTAGCTCCTCCAGTTTCTTTTGTTCTTCCTTCTGTTTCTGCTTGAAAGCCTTATCTTCCTAGAAAGAGACACAGCAGGTTCGCTCCAGGACCGCCTCCCGGGCCCCTGGAGCCCGCCCCCGCCTCCGCGCCCGTCCTCACCTCGTCCATCTCCTTGTTCTGCTTCTTGGGTTGTTTCAGGGGCTTCTTCTTGCCACCTGTGGGCGACATACGCGCGTTCGGCCCGGCCCCGCCGCCTCCAGCCCAGCCTTCGCCGGGCCCCGCCCGCCCCCCGGTCCCGGGGACTCACCTTCGCGGCCCGACATGGCGCCTGCCGCCCCTTCCCCAGACCTGCCACCGAAAAGCAGAGCTCCCTGCCCCCACCTCGTCAGGGCCTGGATGACTACGCGGCCCGCCGATTGGCTGCGGGACCGGAAGTTGCCCTTCTCGCTCCCGGAAGCGGCCCGCTAGGGGCGGGCACTACGAGTCAGAGGTCAGCCGGGTGGCTGGAGCTCGGTTGGGCTTGCGGCTCCGGTTCTGTACACGCGCCCAGGGTGAGCCGGGTGGGAGGTTCGCCCAGCCCGGGAGTCAGGAGCCGCGGGAAAGGGGCTTAGCCGGACGACGTCAGGCCCGGGACGGTGCATGGCAAGAGCATCGTCGGTAGAGGAAAGGGCCGCTGCAAAGGCCTTGAGGCAGGACCGAGCTGGGCGTCCTGCGAGAATCTAGGGAATCGCAGCTGGGTGCGATCGAGGGAGGGGTGTGTGTGTCAGAAGTCGATGGGTCGAATCAGCCGGTCTGAGAGCTTTGGAAGCCACTGGAAGGAGTTTGGGATGTGACGGCGGATTCTCTCTTTATGGAGTATGTACTATATGCAGATAATATTCTAGGTACTAGGGATCCGGTAATGAACAAAACTAAGTACCCGCCCTGGCAGAGCTGATTTTCCAATGGATGAGACAACCCACTAGCAAAGTCAATAAGTGAAATGTATAGTACGGGTCATGTGATACAAGGGGGCGTGGATGAAGCTAGGAAAGGGGTGGGGAGGAGGGATGGGCAAGGAGAGGAATGGCGATTTTTGATAAGAGTGATCAGGGACTGCCTCCCTGAGAGCAGGACTTTTGAGCAGAACTTGAAGAGAGCAAGCAGTGTAGACAGGGAGTGAACTACTGTCCTGAGGCCCTTGAGGTGGCGGGTAGCCTGGTATGCTCCAGTAACACCTGGATCTCCCAGATGGGGTTGGAGAGATGAAAGGGTGCTAGTGAGAAATCAGGTTAGAGAATGGAGGAGCAAGGGCGTGGGAAGGACTTTGACTTTTTGAGAGAAATGGAGATCCAGTGGAGGGTCTGTGCAGAGACTTGGGCCTACCTGCTCCATTGAGAATAGTCTGCATAGGTGAGAGTAGAATAGGTGAGAGCCTCCTGTCAGGAGGCTCTTGCAATAATGGAGAGAGGATGGTGGTTGGACTAGGTAATAGCACTGGCAGGGGTAGAGAGGTGGCAGGATCCAGGATGTAGAAAGTCAGTGGCATCTCCCAATCAATTGGATATGGGGTGGGATGACCCGAGGTTGTCTTTGCACTTAGAGTGACTGTCAGCTACAATGGAGATGGCTGTGGGGAAAGCAAAGCAGAGAGATGAATAGTTTTGTGTTGGATCAAGTTTCAACTCCCCCATTAGCCTTCTAAGCAAAGATGTGGACTTGGCAGTTGAGTTCATGAGCTTACAGGGCCCAGGGGAGAATTCTGGGTTGTAGAAGTGTAGTTTTCTTTTCTTTTTTTTATTACAAGTAGTAAAAAGATAAAGCTGTTCACACATTGTGCAATTTACATATATAGAATTACCTTTTTGAAAAGTATAGTCATAGAGTTGTACACCTGCAGGTGGGTTTTAAAGTTATGCTATTGACTGAGGTGACTGATTAAAAGAGCAGTCTGAGGACTGAGCTGGGGGCCCTGCAGCGTTGAGAGGTCAGGGAGATGGGGAAGGAGCAAGGCATTGACAGAGAGAGAGCATGCTCCTGAGACTTGGAGTGCTCAGGAGGCTAGTGAGACGAGGACTGGAAACGAAGCACTGGGTTTGGCGGTGTGGAACTGACCTGGAAGACGGCTGCTCCTGTGGCAGTGCAGAGAATGGATGTAGAACTGGAGACCGCCAGCAGTCTGTCAGGGAGTTTGGCTGCAAAGAGGAGCAGAGCTGCTTCAGAGACAGCTCCCAGCATGGCAGACAGAGGAGGCCAGGGTGCTCTGCCCTGACTTAACCTCAGGAAGTCCTTTCTGCTGCCTAACTGGAGCTCTTGGCTCTGCTGCAGGCCTGCTCCCAGCACCTTCTGCTCGGTTCTAGTGTGGCTGATCGGCCACTAGGGGTCGCTCTGACGGGCATGTGCGTTCCTGTAGGATCGCTATGAGTCAATTGACTCCATGGAGTTGAGTTTGTTTCTTCTTTTTTTTAAGTGTGTGTGCTTTGAGATGTGACTCAGTTAGAGGAGGAGGATGCTGGCCAAGTCTTGTCAGGATTGGCTTTCATTTGGGGTCCTCTACTATTCCTGAGCCTGGGTAATGGGAGCCTCCTGCAGTTCAGGGGTGGAGAAGTAGGCGTTGTTAGGGCCCAGACATCAAAGTAGGGTTGAAAAGGGAAGATTAAAGAAACCTAACCTGTTGAGCAGTGACTAAGGCCTGGGAGGAGGGAGAACAGCTTAGGGAAGCTGGGAAATGAGAGACTGGGAAGTCTGGGCTTGGAGGACAGACAAGGGTTGGTTTGAGCCTAAGAAAAGCGGTCCTCTATGAAATCTGTTTTTCTTGGACTTGTCCTCTCAGAGAAGAGTTGGGAGGTCTCTGCTTTGGGACATGAGTGACCTATGCCCTTGTATGTGAGCGCAACTCTGATTCCCCTGGGCTGAGCAGTCCTTAGGGAGTCTGGTTTTTGAGGGGTTTCCCCCACCCCCTTTCCTTCCAGAAAAGACACTGGAGATTTCCCTCTGTTCCACAACTTTCCCGAGAGCCTTAGAAATCTTTGTGAAGGCTCTGGCAGTTAGGGCACGACTCAGAGTGGAAAGTTATTATCAGAAAGCCGGGCCCTTGACTTCATCTGAGCCACAGCATGGACCTGGGGAATGCAAGGAGGCGGGTGGGTGGATGTGACTCATGGGGGAAAGCAGGAGGCTTAGTTTTCTAATGACGTCCTCACCCAAATGTGTCCCTTTGTCCAGGAGCACCTGGGGGCACACCTGACCTGAGGATCCGCCTGCTGTGGGGGCTGCAATCCCTGGGCCAACCCGTGAAGCTCCGCTCAGATGCTTTGAATGGGAATTCATAGGTTCTGCCCTGTCCTTGGCCTTGAGACCTAGCTTATGCCCACCACCACTTCGAGCTGATCTACCTGGCATCCACCGCACAGATCTCCTGATGAGAGGGCACAGCTCTCTCCTTGCCATGCTGTACACCGTGGGTGTGCCCCACTTACGGGTGCGGAGAGGCATCCTGGGTAGGGACCCCTTTATGACCAGGACACTCTGCAGCCCAGGCTCCAACCAGCCTAGACAAAAGAGACCCCAGGAGCTGGCCCTTGGGCTCTACCACCGCCTTACAGCACTGGGAGCAGCCCTGGGGCACAGCCTTCAGCAGCGGGTGTCCTCCACCGCCAAGACCTGGTGGGACAGATACGAAGAGTTTGTCGGACTCAATGAGGTTCGAGAGGCCCAGGGAAACGTGACTGAGGTGAGGAGGGACGCCGGGTGGTTGACCCTGCCTTCTCACTCGGTATGTGCTGCCTATAGGCTCCCACCAAATAAGTCACCAGCCAGGTGGTGCCAAGGAGCTGTTGTCTTGAACAAACATCCCTGGTAGACTCATTGCTTGCAGGGAGAACTGTTGTGAGCTTTCTAGGCTGAAGGACTTGGGTGTAATTGTACTCCTCACCCTCCCTGCAGGCAGTTGTGATCTGATAAATTCCTCCCCATTAGCAACCCTTCTGATGGGCCAGCAAACACTTCCTTCACGGACTGTTGCGGGTTCTGCTGTCCTCAGAACCTGTGTGTAATTAAAACAGCCCTGTGAAAGGAGAGGCCACTGGGGGACAGGAGGGAGACAGAGCTGCCTAAAGTTATCACATCCTATTTGGCAATGGCAGCAGAAAAGCACCCTGCTATCCCGTTCCGCTGCTGCCTAGGCATGCGGGCCCCTGCTTCAAGCTGGGGAGAGCCTGGGCTTCAGCTGGCACAAATAGGCAATGTGCAGTTTCTCCCCTGAGAGACACAAAGCCTTGCCAAGACCAATATTCCATGCCCGTAAGACAGAAGCTGAGGCTATGCCTTCTCCTGGTGGTATTGAGTGGGTTAATAAGGAGCCCCCAAATCTAGACTAGCCTGTCAGCTCCCTTTACTGGGGTGAGTACTGGAAGGGAGTTAGCATTTTCCCATTTCTCAGGGGCATGTTATTTCTGCCTGAAGGGATAAATCCTGTGATTCTGATGGCCCGGGCTCTGACCACCACTCCGGAGTGAGATGAGTGCCTTGAGGGGGACCCTCTTCCCCTCATTTCTCAGCTGGCAGCCCAGCGGCCTCTCAGCCACAGCCTGGTTGAGAACAGAGCTGAACCTTCCAGGTGTGGAGGCAAGGGGCCCACGGCCTCTGTCTGGTCTCTCTGCAGGCAGAGAAGGTGTTCATGGTGGCCCGTGGACTTGTCCGGGAGGCCCAGGGGGACTTGGAAGTTCAGCAGACCAAACTGAAGGAAGTGCGGGACCGCTTGGACCGCGTCTCCAGGGAGGACAACCAGTATCTGGAACTGGCGACTCTGGAGCACAGGATGTTGCAGGCAGGTACCTCTGAAGGTAGCCCTTCCTGGCAGCGCGGAGCCCCAAGCCTGGCGAGTCATGGCAGGTGGGAACCATGACTGCTCTGGTGGGTAGAGGCCAGAAGCGCTGGCTGAAGGACAGGTCCCTAAGCTTCCTGGCCTGTCCACCTCTGGGGCCAGTTGTCTAGAGCAGTCTAGACTGCGACCCAGATTTCAAGGAGGGAGCACTCTGGTTCTTATGGGCTCATTATGTAAATACTAGTGCATGGCTGGTCAGACCCAGGCTGGTTCAGGTGGGAAGTCTCTGCCCAGGCCCCGGTACTTCCATCCCATCTGCACACGCTCAGGAAGCCCGTACTCCATGTCAAGCAGGAGGCTCCGCTCCAGGAACACGGTAGCGGGGCATTGGCCGGAGGGCTGCACCGCTACCCGGTAACACAGCCTTGTTTCTACAGGAAGAGAAGAGGCTTCGTATGGCCTACCAGCGTGCGGAAGAGTCTGAGCGAGAGAGGTTCTCCCTCTTCTCGGCCGCCGTGCGGGAGAGTCACGAGAAGGAGCGCGCACGGGCCGAGAGGACCAAGAACTGGTCCCTCGTTGGGTCGGTCCTGGGGGCCCTGATTGGCGTGGCCGGCTCCACCTACGTGAACCGCATTCGGCTACAGGAGCTGAAGGCCCTGCTCCTGGAGGCCCAGAAGGGGCCTGTGAGCCTCCAGGAGGCCATCCGAGAGCAGGCCTCCAGCTATTCCCTCCAGCAGAGGGACCTCTATGACCTCATGGTGGACCTGAGGAGCCTGGTGCATGCTGGGCCAGGGCAGGGCCCTGGGTCCCAGACAGGTACTTCCCCCACCCGAGCCAAAGACACAGATGTCCTTTCAGCTGCCTTGAAGGAGCAGCTCAGCCATTCCAGACAGGTCCGTTCATGTCTCGAGGGTTTACGAGAGCAGCTCGACGGCCTGGAAAAGACTTTCAGCCAAATGGCTGGGGGGGCTCCGCTCGCTAAGGCCGCAGCACACCCAGGCTTGGCTGAGCAGGCAGGCCAGGCGCCGCCCAGCGCCCTGCTGGAGCAGGGGAGCAAGCTCACGGCGCTGTCGGACACGGAGCAGCGGCTCGGAGCCCAGGTGAACAGGAACACCGTCTGCAGCACGCTGGTCACCTGCGTGACATTTGTGGCCACGCTGCCTGTGCTCTACATGCTCTTCAGGGCCAGCTAGCCACCCCCGGCCCTCCTCCAGGGGGCATAGCCAGATGATGCCAGCAGGGGGAGGGGTTGGGGGTGCACCCAACCTCTGCTTGAGCCCGAGCGCCACTGCTGTGCCTTTGCTTTTTAGGCACTGCTTATTGACATCCTTCTTCAAGACCTGTATTCATGACAAAGTCATTTTTGTTTGTATTACTTAAAGCAACTTAAATCAGACTGAGTTTGGTTCATTGAAAACGGGGGTCTGTGACACATGGGTTGAATCTGGGTTTGGGTACATCTCCCCCCACCCCACTCTATAGTCCCTCTCTCATCTCCACTTTAGGGCTGCCTTTTTTTTTTTTTCTTTAATATAATTTAGATTATTTAGCAATCTAAGAAGTTCACAGCCATCAGCAGTTCGAGTGCAATCTGGAATTGGGGAATCTCAGTGAGCGAACCTTGTAGATAAAATACACACAGACTTTTGCTAGAACGTGTGATGGGGCCTCTAAACTTGACCTCACTGGTTTCACTCTCAGCACTCTGACCTGGGCCAGTCAACGTGGCTTTTATTTTTGTTGTTGCAGATGTTCTACCTGCCCTCTCCGTGCAATGCACTGAAGATGCCATTGTGACATGCACGGCCTCCGGGCCTCACAGCTGCAATATGCTGTTTCCTCTCCATCCCTGACTCAATTAGGAAATTTTAATTCACTTCCACAGGAATTGTAGTAGCTTCTGTCAATCGCCATAGTTTGCACAGCCACCAACCCCCACCCCTTTAGTACTGCTTTTCACGTGTGACCCCTCGGGTTTGGCTTCTCAGTTTGGATTTCTTGTGCCAGATAAACTGGGTGTCCTAGTTAGGGATACCTGGGCAGCTGCTCACCTGGTGAGCATGGTGGCGAAAGCCATGTGGAAAGGTGAGCCCCAGGAAGTAAACAGTCAGCCAGGGAGTACCTTGCTTATTGGGTAATCCACCCCTAGTTACACCCCCCTTCTGAGCCACTTGCATTGAAAACACACTGCAGACACAGTGGTGAAGCACCTGGCTGTTCATGGAAGCGTGGACAGTATGAACCCACTGGGCCCTCCGTGAGAGAAATAAGGTGCAGGGAGTCTACGCCCATTCACAGGAGACTTCACAGGAGTAGAAAACCCAGTCGCGCTCCCTCGGAGTGCCGTGAGATCACAGCCCAATTAATTGGTAACCACTCCACCCGCCACCAAGGCTGTAAAGGTTACAGCCTTGGCAAGCCTGGGGAGCGGTTCTCCGTGGCTGCTATGAATTGGCATTGGCTGGCCTGCCAGGGCTCTTTAATGCTGGAGGAGTGAGCAGAGGGATTAGGGGAATGGTTAGTGTTGCTGAGAACACAATACCTGGGTGATGGCCACTTTGGGTCTGTGGGGCAGGCAGTGAGCCACACAGGTGTGCTGCTGGAAGTGGGGTATTGATCTGTCTCTGTCCGTAGCCTGGGGCAGCCCTCACAGCTCAGCCCCAAGCAGCCAGGAGGGCCCTCCCAGAGGTGGGAGGTGCAATGAGGCATGGAGATTGCCTGACCTTCCCACCCCTGACCTCTCCCCTTTCAAAGGGGGACATTGAACTTTGGTCTCCCGAGCTAACTGGCCATAGATGGCCTTGTGCCCATGAGTAAACAGGAGCAGTGGAAAGGCGCTCTGTCCTCTTGGAGGAGTGGAGGATCTGATGCATGGTGCCCCTTTCAAGGCACAGTGAGCCCGCAGGGTGGCTCTTTCTCCTGGGTTATGAGCCAGTAATTTCCAGGAGGTTCCTTCCCTCCCCGCAGCCTGTGCTCACCTTTGGCAGTAATCATGGCCCCAAGGCTTCACGATGTTCTAATCCTCTGAGGGTCAGGTTCCTCAGGGGGTTGTGGGATGAAATGACCAACTGTATTCAGCAACCTAGCAACAGAGCTGTGGGGCTCAGAAGTCCCTGATACCCCTCTGGGGTGATGTGAATTCTGAAAGTTGCATACATAAGGGAATGGATTTTTTTTGAAGGGGGTGAGGGAGGGAAGCAGGGATTCTAGGTATCCTGAAAGGGGTACAACATGCTGCAGAGGCCTGAGTGTTAACATGGGTGGGTGGCCAAACACCTGTTAGAAGTGATGGGATGTGGGGGGCTTTTGGAGCAGAAAGGTTAGAAGTGAGGACCTAGGGTGCCGTGTGGGCAGACAAGGGATTTTCTGAGGTCAGAGGCCACAGGTGATCCCTGGTGCTGATCCAGGGTCCTGGAGCTAAAAATGTAACTTGTAGGGTTAGGATGGAGCCCTGGTGGTGTGACGATTATATTACACGCTGGGCTGCCACCCACAAGGTCAGCAGTTTGAAACCACCAGCGCTCTGAGAAAAACCGATGAGGTCAGTTCTACTCTGTCCTACAGGGTGGCTGTGAGTCAGAATCCACTTGATGTCAACAAGGGTTTTTGTTTGTTTTTTGGTATAAAGTTAGGGAGGGAGAATTTGGAACACTAAGGGCTTGGTACGTGAGATGAAAGGAGGTTCCCTGAGAGGGAGTGGGAGGGGAACAGAGGACACCTGTGACCTTATCTCATTGGGTAGTAGCCAATGTGAATGACTGGATTCTACTGGGTAAAATCATCCTCTATCTTGTGTGGGTGATGGGTTGTGCCTACCAGGAGACTGACTGACCCACTGTCTCTGGGCCAAAGTTCTAGAGAAGTACTAACAAAGTGGGCCAAGTACTGGTTCCGGCTTGCAGCAAGCATGGCAGGATGTATGTAAAGGGCCCTGCAGAGGGCACAACTGGGTCTTGAAGAGAGAGCCTTCCACCCAGCGTTCCCTCCAAGTGAAGGCCCAGGTATTTGCCAAGGAGGGAGTCCAGACATGCCCAGACTCCTTAGCTGGGGGGTGGGGGTGGTGCTCAGGGCTACCTTTGGGGAGAGGACCAGGTAAAAGTCAAGGAAATGCTCCCTTGCTGAGCACCTCTGTGGCCCAGGTGCCCTCCCCTAACAGCTTGGCTAGGTGTGGTGATGGTGGTGTCACCCCCATTTAGCGGTGAGCAAATAAGCTTGGGGGTCAGGTTACTTAACTTAGTGATGGCGCAAACCCAGGCCCAACCCCAAAGCCCGGGCTCTTCCCGCAGAGTCAGAGGTGGGGGCCGGAAGGAGGGGTTAGCTGCTGGAGAGTCTTGGGAGTAGGGGCAAGCCTAGGTGCGGTGGGGAGAATCAAGGTATACCTGGAAGTTGAGGTCCAGGAAGTTGGGAAGACGACCACAAGAGCCAGGTACTGGAAGAAAAAGAGGGCGCTTGGGGCGCTGGGCAGGGTAGGGTGATGGCTGGCGAACAGGCCGGGCAGGTGAGGGGCCCGGGTCTGATCTGGGGCGGGCGGGAAGAGGCCGAGGCTGCAGTTTACCACCAGTAACCCGGGGGTTTGGAGAGCGAGCCACCCTGCGCCCGTGATCATGCCATTCCCAACCCGGGAAGGCTCCCAATTCTAGTTCAAACGCTGCTGCCCCCCAGGTAAGGCCCCCGAGGTGGCAGGCCGGGCCCCCAGCAATTGAGGCTGCACTCCGTAACCCCCCTTCTCTCCGCGATCCCCGTTGCCATGGTTACCACCGCCACGCAGCAAGC